GGCTAGACGTCCTTTAGGTTGCTTGTGTTTCTTTAACCAAGGAATAGCTTCATGATCAGTAACAATACTGAAATTTTGTCCTTGTAGAAAATGATGAAAGTACTTGGTGGCCCATATAATGGCAAGACATTCCTTTTCAGTCACAGTATAGTTTCGTTCAGCTTCATTAAGTACTCTGCTAGCATATGCAACAACATGTTCCTTTTTTATATCATCCAACTGAGCTAGAACAGCTCCAATGGCATAATCAGAGGCATCAGTATGTAAAATAAATGGCTTTGAAAAATCAGGATAAATAACTATGGGTTTTGTAGTAAGACAAGTTCTCAAATGTTCAAAAGCCTTTTGACAATCTTCAGACCAGCGGAAGTTTATATTCTGTTTGGTTAATTCATACAAAGGTTTGGCAATTTTGGAGAAATCCTTTATAAATCTCCTATAATAGGAGGCAAGTCCAAGAAAAGATCTGACTTTTCTCTTAGAATTTGGGAGAGGGCATTCCTTGATTTTCTCAACCAAGGTTGGGTTCGGTTCGATTCCTTCCTCAGACACCAAATGTCCAAGGAAAAGTATTTGTTTTCTAAAGAAATCACACTTATCAGGATTTAACTTTAGACCTGCTTTAATCAATAACTGCAAGACTTGTTCAAGGTGAGCGCAATGGTCTTCTAGAGATTTTGAATAGATGATAATGTCATCCATGTACACCAAAACAAACTTCCAGGTTACATCATAGAAGACATTATCCATCAAGCGTTGGAAGGTTGCTGGAGCATTCATTAAACCAAAGGGCATGACTGTAAATTCATAAGTACCAAACTTGGTACTGAAAGCAGTTTTCTCTTGATCAACAGCATGCATTGCTACTTGCCAGAAACCTGAAGTTAGGTCAAGAGTTGAAAAGTATTTGCTATGGGCAAGAGCATCCAACATATCGGAGATTTTGGGAAGGGGATATGCATCAGGTTTTGTTACTTTGTTTAATTGACGGTAATCTATGACAAGTCTCATTTTTCCATTTGCCTTGCCAACTACAAGTGCAGGAGAAGTCCAGGGGCTATGAGAAGGTACTATAAGTCCTTGCTCTTTGAGACGCTCTATTTCCTCCTTTATAAAAGACTCATGTTTGGGGGAAGTTCTGTAATAGTGTTGTTTTATTTCTCTAGCACTTCCAGTATCAATGTGATGGGTTACTATGTTAGTACGGCCTAGTTGAGTTAAATCTTTGGCTATGACATTTGGATATTTTTCAAATATATCTTGAACAATATAATTATATTCATTTTGAGCTAACTCTTCTGCACCTCCTTTTACTAAAAAGGATTGTGCATTTTTAATTTCTTGAACAGGGATTATTTGGATTGTTTCCCAGCGAGAATAATCTTCATAACAACTATTACATTTATCCTTTTCTGTTGGTAATTGTTTTTGGCACCAACATTCCTTATCAGGTCCTTCAAACCAATGTTTAACTTGATGTCGGTATCTTTGGTTAACTAACCAGGGATTAAATTGTCGATTCATATAATCATATTCTTGCCAAGTAAAGGTTTCATGATCAATTTCAATTCCCCAAGGAGTAAACTTGTAAAAGTGTTGATCTGGACTTTCCTCTTCATTTACCATTAAGACAAGGTTACCATCCTCATCTTCATCTTCATCTTCTTCATATTCATAGTCATCATCATCAGAATCCTCCTCATTATTTATTACTGGTTGAGGTGGTGCAGTGGAATTCCTGCAAGAAACTTGGGCTCTTCTATGATTATCAGAAATGGTTACTTGGGAATCTTTATAGTTTATTACTGCATTGGCCTTTCGTAACCAATCAGTTCCCAATACCATGGAATAGGATACTGTATCTATAATTTCCATATCGGTGGATACTACTACATCACCAATGTGAACTGCAATATTGTCAATAATTCCCAAGCTAGACCTTTTATTACCATGTATACCAGTGATCATTCTATCTGATTTACGGGTTGCAGTTTTGTTTAAATGTTCAAGGAATTTCTTTGAGATTATACTTGTAGATGAACCACTGTCCAAGATAATATCGATGGTCCATCCTCCTACTTGTCCTTTACAAATCATAGGGGTATTAGAGTAGGAAGTGCTTCCTAAATTTGCTTCTTCTCCATCCTTCTTTTCCTTTTTCTTAGGATCTCTCTTTCGCCTTGGAGTTATGGCTTTCCTTAATTCATTTCTGAATTTAGGTATATTTGCTAATTGTCCTATAGTAATATTTGATTTGACATGTAGCAAATCTTCAACAATTGAGTATGGCATAGTTTTCTGCTCCAATAAGGGTCTCTCAGTAAAGGCTAGCTTTTGCCTTCCTTTCTTTCCTTCCTTTTGTTCACCTTCTACTTTGCGTTTTCCTTTATTATCCTTAGAACCTTCAGCTTTTGTAAGTTCTGGAATAAGCACATCTGTCATTTCAACTTCATTGCTACCAAATATTTTATTTTGTGGTTTAGCAGCATGTCGGGACTGTTGTAGTCCTTGAGTTTCTCCTGTATATGAGGGAATTGCATTATCAGACGTACTCCCACCCTCCTGGGGTACGCTTTCTAGTTTAAATGCTCAACAGGATAAACTTGTTGAGTCAATGGTACTGTTCCTGTTTCATGTAATCCTATCAAAACTTGTTGATTTTGATTTTGAGGGGGTTGTTGAGAGACTACCGGAGGAACATTTTGATATTGGTTCACTTGAGGTATTTGTTGTTGTGCTGGAGGCATTTGCATTTGGTAAACTTGTGGTTGTACTGTTTGTTGCGGTTGTTGCTGTGCAAACAAATGGGTTCCATACATATTTTGATTTGCAGGGACTTGGTTATTCACAGGTGGTATTGTTTGATTATTATTGTTATTATTGGAACTAGGACAATTTCTTGCATAATGTCCTATTTGATTACATTTATAACATGTAACTGGTCTTCGGGGTGGTCTGTTATTATTATTATTATTGTTTCCAAAATTACTGTTGTTATTATAATTTGGTCTGTTGGACTGAGGTTGGTTTGTATTTTCTGTATTATTGTTTCCTTGTCCTAAAGCTAATTTTTCTAAAGCCTGGATCAAAGGATTTAAAGCTTTATTTATTGCAGTCTCAACAGGATCATTTTGAGAAATTAGATTTGGGTTTTGGTGTGAATATGCCATTGCAACTGGAATATTATTATGGGGTTGTTGAAATCCTAATAGAGCTTCAGGATAAACTCTATTATTTTCTTCCATGCGTCGGGCTGCTTCAATCACTTGATCAAGAGTAAGGTTGTTTTGGAAGGTTAAATGAGGATTTAATTGACAGGCAATTTCTCTGCGTAGTCCTTTAGTGAATTGATATACTTTATCAGATTCGGTCCAATGGTTATTATAATCAATTCTTCTAATTAAGCGCTTTATTTCTAAAGCATATTTATCAACAGGTTCAGTGAGGCCCTGCACTCGTCTCTCTAATTCTGATCTCCATTGTATAATTTTTCCTTGGTTTCTGAATTGCCTAAGGAAAAGAGTTTTGAAGCATCGGTTGTTTGGATTTGCCCAGGATTGGAATTGGGTTCCCATGTTGGCTTCTTGTAATTCATACCATGTTCTGGCTTCATTTAATAGGTATCCTCCAACTACTTGTAATTTGTAGTTGTTGTGGTATCCATTTACTTGAGCATTTCGTTCAAATTCTTCGAGCCATTCGATAGGGTCTTGATTTCCTCCTTCAAAGCGAGGCATAGGTACAGTATTTCTAATTTCCATTCGATAAGTTAAATCTTGGAGTGCATTCACAACTGCAGTAGCTTGTTGGGCATTCATGTTGTTAAAGAATATAAGGGTAAAGATAAATATATGTGGTAATTCGTTAAGGATTATAACTATACTAATACTAATAAGGGATAAATATAAAAATATAAAAATAAGGATAAAAAAAAATATAAAATATTATTAAAGAAAATAACAACTAATACTATTAAGAAGAATAACTTTTAAGAAGTTCTAAATCTTTAAAAACTTGTATACAATTATCTCTAATTTTAGAAACTAATTTTAATTGTTCTCCAATTTTGCGTAATTCTTCAAGATCTACTAATTTCCAATCTGGATCTTGGTCAATAGGGGTTTGATTAACTATATATTGTATTTTCTGATTATAAACTTCAGTTAATTCTAAAATAATGTTATTCAATTCTTCTAATTCAATCATAAATAAAATATGAACTAATAGAAATATAAGGGAAATAAATATAAATAGAAAGTAAATTAAACTAAACTAATAAATTTTCACAACCTCACAGGAGGCACCAATTTGTCGCGTGCCCAGTGCGACAATGTTCTGAAGGATAGAGAATCTTCTCTAACAAAAACTAACAAAAGGTTATGTAATTATCGTGCTATTTCCGATTGATCCTACTCGACCAATTATAGCAAATTACAGAGTTAGGGAAGAGGGTCAACTTAGGAGTGAATTCTTTATTGTGACGGGGTTTTTACAACACCAAGTTAGTTTGTAACTTAGCAAGGTGTATGTGTAAAAGATTCAAAGTCGATAAATTATACGAAGACTTTATTTTAATATCAACTTTATTAAAATAAATACAAGAAATATAAGAAATGGATAAGATATATAATGATAAATAATAAAAGATAAGTATATAAAAGTAATAAAAGAAATGATATTTATTAAAAGAATAAATCAGAGGATTATTAATTAAATAACTAAGGAACTTAAACTTGAACTATTAAACTTGATCTGGAACTGACTGACTAAAACCAAGGCTAAAGAGGCCTGTATTTATATCCTTTTGACACCATTCGTGCCGCAGACAAACTATACTATTCTCTACTCTAGATTGGTTCTTTGCCAAGCGATACAAATAATATTATCAAAGGTAATTTCATTACCTATCCCCAGGTATCCTACCTGGGTATTTCCCTAGGTATCGTACCTAGGTATATACCTGGGTAAATTAACAATGATAATC